GGCTGTCACCAAAAGGAGCTGGGGGTATTTTAGAGCTGATGGGGAACTTCTACTTCCTCGCAAGGGCAAGGAATGGTCACTCGTCGTGCCCCACCTGCTTCAGATCTAGGAGGAAAATCTGGTCATCTCCTCTCTTTGGGGGCCCTGGGCTCACACAAATGCCAACTCCTGGTCCCCAGCCACGACGGTGATTCAGGCCATTTACTCAGATCCACGTTAATGAGTTTTCCTGTTGCCTAATTAGTTCACAGTGAACTCAGCCTTGGGAGAAAAGAGCTAAGAGGATTGGGGAAAGGACAGAGGGAGTCAGGTTGGAATGTTACAAGAACAGGGCAGGACTTCAGCTCCAAATAGTGTTCTCTACTCCCATCCCAAAATACTGAATGCTCCTTCCCCAGCTCAGGGACCTCCAAAAGCAGAAAGGGAGTGTTCAGGTGAAGAAGCCCCCAGAGCCTCACACAAGAAGATGGGAATGTGACCCTAATTGTGAGGCCCAAGAAGTGGCCAGGCCTGCCCACAACTCCATGTCATCACCAAAAAAAAAAAAAAAAAAAAAAAACCCTTGTAATCCACCACCCCCCCCCCCCCCGCCCCAGCGTTTCCACTAAAGCTGAACCCACCACCTGCTGGTGGGCATCCCCCCTCGAATGGACAGAGAGGAAGCAGATGACCCAGGGCGAGGCCCACCTGTCCCTTGGGCGCTCAAAGGTCACCGCGCCACCAGGGTGTCTGGGGTGCGGAGGGCCCCCACCACATCAGGGGTCGTCGGATATGTGCCAGCAGCGTGCACCCACTTCCTCTGCCCCTTTGGCAGCCAAAGTCCCGACCCAAGAGCCCATGGAAAGGAGCGCTGGGCAGGACAGGGGCCCGGAGTTCTGGCGCTTGACGCCCGGCGCCGTGTCCACGGAGGCCGGTCTGCGCCCCGCAGTCCCGTGCCCGCCTCCCGAGTGGCTCCCGGGTGCGCGTGGGACCCGGAGAAGGCGCGGATGTATCGGCCGGCGCGTCCCACGCGGTCGCGCCGCCGGAGCCCCGCGCCAGGCCCGGCCTGTGCCCGCCTGGCAGCCGCAACAACGTAGGGGGTGTGCGTCGGGAAAGGGCGCCGCGGCGAGCGCCACCCTCCGGGGCCCGCGGACGCTCCCCTAACGGGAGGCCCGATCCCCCGCCCCGCCGCGGGGCAGGGCCGGGACAGCGGCCCCACCTCCGCGCCCGCCGAGGCCCTCCGCTGCGCCCACCTTCCCTCGCCACGCCTGGCCAGCTCCGGCCCCGGACCCCCGCACCTCTGAGGCTCTGAGCGCACCTGTCCCGGGAGCGACACCGCCCTCGCGTCGTGGAGCACTAAGAGCAGAAAACGCGCCCCCTGGCACGGGACCGGCCCCGAGCCCCAGTGTCCCTGGACGAGATACAGCGAAGCGCGGACGACCGCTCTGCAACGCCGGCGATGAGCACACCGCGTGGCCGGCACCTCAGGCGCGCGAGGACCCCAGACGCGGACAGCGTGGCCGAGCCGAGCCGAGCCGCCGCGCCCCATCTCCCGCAGACCCCGGCTCCGCTCACCCTCGATGGAGATGACGTGCTCCCGGATCTGGTTCTGCAGCGCCAAGTCCTCGATGCGCTCGATCAGGTCGTAGATGGCGTAGATATTGGGATGCACGGATTCGAAGCGTTGGATCTCGGCCCGGATGGCTGCCGAATTGGAGAGCGCGAACTGCTGGGGGGGCCCGCCGGCCAGCTGCTGCGAGGGGCCGCCGCCGCCCCCGGCCCCCGGCCCCGCGCCGCCGAACTGCCCGCCGCCCCCCGCGCCGCCGCCGCCACCGCCGCCGCCCCCCGGCGCCGCCAGGCTCGGCTGCTGCTGCGGGCTCTGCCCCCCGCCCGCCTGGAAGTTCATGGCTCTGGAGCCGCGGGGCCCGAGGCGGGCCCGGCCGGGGCCCGGGGCGGCGCTGCGGCGGCGGCGGTGGCGGGCGGGCGCGCGGGGCTGGCGGGGCCGGGACTACGGAGCCGGCGGCGCGGGGCTAGCGCATGAGTTCGGGGGCCGGGGGCCGAGGCCAGGAGGCACCGCCGAGCACGCTGGGGCCGCCGCTGCAGGGCGCTTCTCCGCGCCGCGATCCCGCTGCCTCGGAGCAGCCTCCAGCGGCAACAACAACGGGACCGGGAGCGCGCGGCCCGGGCCCTCCCCCCGCGTCATGCGCACGCACCGCCGCCCCCGCCAGCTCCGGCACACGCAGCCCGAGCCCCCCTCCCCGCCGCCCCCGCCCCTCCTGCGCGCCGGCCCCAGCGCCCCCGCCCCTCGCTCGCTCGCTGGCTCTGCAGCCTCCACCCCCGAGCCGCGCGCTCCAGCCCCCGCGCCCGGGCCCCTCCCACCTAGCCTTGGCCCTTCCGCCTGCTCTCCAGCCCCCACCCACACCCGCCGCGAGGGCCACCGGCTCCAAGTGGACAGCTGCTCTGGCCTCCTCCCGGCCCCGGCTGGCTCTTTCGCCGCCCTGCTCTGGTCTGGGTGGGGTGTCCGATCTTTGGGCAGTGCCCGAGCCGTGCCCGGCGCCTGAGGGTGCTGATGAACGCGGCCGATTGGCCGAGAAGGGCCGCCAGCCCAGGCACAGCTGCGCCTCACTTACGCGGTCCTGCCTTTCATGCTGCACGGGATCCCCGGTTCCCGCCCGAGATCATCCGTGGAGACCACCCTGTGCCCCAGGTGCTCTCTCTGGTCCTCCCTGGACTCTCGGCTGCGGGCTGCAGCACAGAGCCTGGAAATCTGGGTTCCCGGCTTCTATTTCCTGTTCTCCTAGGGAGCTTCATCAGCAAGGCCTTTGGAAATGGCACTGTAAGCAACAGCCCCCACTCATCTTCAGGCTTCTCCTAAAAGACTCCCCTGTGGGATTGGGTTGGTTCACTACCACTGCCCTGGACCCACTGGTACATGGGCAAAGAAGAGAGAGGAATCCAATATTATGGCTTCTTCCCCCACTCACCGCATTCAAGAGATTCACCAGAGACCTCATGGCTCTCTTCATTGTCCTCAATCCCTTGCCCATCTTGTGTTCCTTGTCCACCCTTTCAGGGGCCAGGGAGCTACCTTTGATGTTTGCCTTTCTCTGCATCCCCATTGCCAAAGCTGCCTGCAGTCTTGCTAGCCAGCCCTCATCCTCAGCCTTTCCAAAAATGCCTAATAGAGGGCATGTGCAGAGCACTGGCCCCAAACAGTCAGCCTTCCAGGGCTGTGCCCAGTTGTCCTATGGCACAGTGGACATGTCAGTCTTCTTACACACACTTCCACTTCCAGGCCGAGCTGATTCTTTTCCCCGCAAAGAGTTACCCCCATTTGGCTACTCACAAAACCCTGCCCAGTACCAACGCAGTCACCCAAGTGTCTTGTACCTTCCAAAGAAGGGTCTCCATAGCTCCTGACAGATTCAGGTTCTATGTACACGTTTGACTTTACTGATGTCTTGTACCCTCTCTGTGTTTCATCTTTAAAATACAGTGGTTGAACGCCTGCCTTTGGCCCAGGTTGTGATCCTGGAAACCCGGGATCGAGTCCCACCTCGGGCCCCCTGCATGGAGCCTGCTTCTCCCTCTGCCTGTGTCTCTGCTTCTGTCTGTGTCTCTCTGTCACTCATGAATAAATAAAGTCTGAAATATTTTTAAAAATAAATAAAATAAAATACAGTGGTTGAGCAGAACACCTAGCTCTGATACTGTGTAATTCTAAAAGCAATAGCTAACATCTCTTTTACATGCGGAACTAGAACTTGACAGCAAGAATCTGCACCCGGTAGCTCCCAGGAGAGATGCTGAAGGTAAAGAGCTTCTCAGATGCCTTGCCGCAGCAGCCAGCACAGATCTGTGTTAGGACCAGTGGGCTTGTCTACATGTCTCTCTCCTATCATTCTATGAGCCATGTGAGGGCAGGGATAAGTTTACCTGTACGATTCACCATTGTATTCCCATAATCTTGCACAGTGCCTGGCATATAGTATACCTTTAATAGATGTTTCTGGAATAAACAAATGAATGGAAGGGAAGGAACTAGAGAAAAGTTAGGTCTGTATGTCATACATCTAAATTGACTTTCCCAAGGCAACGCTTAGAGTACCTGCTCCCACAGGTAAGCATGAACTATGGAAACACTAGGGTATATCACTTTTCACCAAGACTGGCCTATAAAACCCAAGACCTGAGATCTCTGTGGCCCAGAGGAAGGAAGGAAGAGCCACCAAAATTAGCTAGCCCAAGCCAGCGTGGGACTCAAAGTCCTCTAGAGTAACACCCAAGCCCAGATCTAGGTGGAGAGTGTACTAATACTAGGTGAACAAATACCTACTGTGTAACAGGTCCCTTACATAGCTTTCACCCTTGTTCAAAAAGCACCCAATTTCTTCCTTACAATTTTCTTATGAACTATGTTTTAGGAACAAAGAAATTAAGATTCAAAGAGGTTCAATAGCGCTCCCAAGTTTATACAGCTGATAAACACAAGACAAGAGATCAGCATTCAGGCCCGGTTCCAGTATCTATGCTTCTCACAGGGTCAAGGTGGAGGAAGGGACCAGGGATACAGGACAACAGCCCAAGCCACTGTGGCCAGCCCTGGGGATGCGTGTCCTCAGCCAACCTAATGGGACCGCCCATGGGTACTGGGCTCTGGGCCAGAGAATCCATTTAGAGGGCCCACGGTGCCTTCTGGCGTCCACTCTGACATAAGAACAGAACCGGGTAGGGGTCACTTGAGCTCCCCGGAGCCTGCATCTGGAAACACGGGTGCTCTGACGTGTTCTCGCTGACGTTGGTTTTTGGAGTGACAGATGCCCTGGATGCCAGCGGGGGAGGTGGCGGGTCCTGCTGATGCACCCAACCTCAGAGGGCTGGCACAACCCTTAAGCCCGCCCCCGCGGGCCCCTCAGCGACTTGCAGACACCCGGACTAGCCCGCCGATCCCGGCACGTGGGTCCGCAGGGCGGAGGGCGGGAAATGCGCACCGCGCAGGACTACAAGTCCCACAATGCTCCGGGCGACGGCGGCAGGGAAGGAGGGGGTGCCTTCAGGTGTCTGCGACCTCGGCGCCTCCCGCCCGGAAGTGCCCGAGGGTCCGCTATGGAGCTGGCGGAGCCGGGCGGTGAGTCCCCGCGCGGTGACCGCGCCCGCCCCGCCGCCCCGGGCCCCAGCTGGCCCCCGCTCGCCCCGCCCCGGGTGTCCTCCCTTGGCTCCGGGGGGCGGGAAGATGGGAGGGGTGATGGAGGAATTGGGGGTTGGGAGGGCGAAGTCTCGGATGCCCGGGCGGGATCTCGGGTCAGCCTGCGGACTGGGTTTGGAGAGGCTTCCAGAGGAGGCGCCGAGTCGGGCCGCCGCGGGGTGGGACTTGAGTGGACCCGCGGGGCCGAGCTGGGTGTGGGGGATGACAGCCCTCGGAAGCTCCGTATTGCCAGGGGGCGGAGACTGACGTTCGGTGTGGGGAAGCCTTCGGAAGCAGTCCCCTGCCGCGGGTGGGGTTTGGTTAAATGATAACGGGGCCGGGGGTGCGGGGCGTAGAAGCCCATTTTCTTTCCCCTTGCAGAAACTTTAATGATGGAGGAGTAGATAGGCTTTGGGGTGAAGTAGACGAAGGAGAAGGTAAACTTTGGGATAGTAGACGGGAGAATAGGTAGGTAAGCTTTGGGGTGAAGTTTGCTGAGGGTTGAATTTAGGGGAGAGGTTGCTTAGGAGTTCAGGGCCCTTACTTCGGCATAGTGTTTGAATGAATTGGGGAGATGGTTATAGACCTAGAACTCAGGTTACAAAACGTTAGGACTCGGGATTTAGTGATGGGAAGGGGACCCTGAGGCAAGTTTGGGACCACCAGGTTTCAGAGCAGTGAGTGCCCTAGGGTGGAGCTTGGGTAAGGGGGAGGAGGAATAAGGACCTTTGGGAGAGTTTGATGGGGTGGGCTCAGGCGCCTGTTGGAATTGAAGGGGCTGCTGGTGGACGAGCCAGCCCCTCATGGGTTCTTTGTACCTCTCCAGCTCAGTAAGGTGGCAGGCAAGGCAGGTGCCATGGCCTTGATTGAAGGGGTGGGTGATGAGGTGACCATCCTTTTTGCGGTGCTTGCCTGCCTTCTGGTGCTGGCTCTCGCCTGGGTCTCCACACACACCGCGGAGGGCACCGACCCATTGCCCCAGCCATCAGGGACTCCAACACCAGCACAGCCCAGTGAAGCCATGACGGTCACCGGCAGCATCCGAGGGGAGGCCCCAGGAGCCGAGACCCCCAGCTTGAGACACAGAGGTCAGGCTGCACAGCCAGAGCCTGGCATGGGGCTCTCAGCAACACCACCGTCGCCAGACTCCCCCCAGGAGCCCCTAGTGCTCCGGCTGAAATTCCTCAACGATTCAGAGCAGGTGGCCAGGGCCTGGCCCCACGATACCATTGGCTCCCTGAAAAGGTAAGCTGGGATGAGGACAGGAAAGACATTCTTAAGAGCGGGGTGGGAGTGACCACAGACCGGAAGGGCCACCAGAGAGATCTGAGACTCCCCCCTCCTTCTATAGATGAGGGGGAACTGAGGCCCTCACATCACACACTGTATCATTCCCCTATGGCAGGGGGGACTCCCCCTCCTTAGAGGCCACCAGCTGGGTGGAGACAAGGGTGGAGGGGTGGGAGTGTGGTTCTGGGCAAGGGACCAGGATTGCCTGAGGCCTGCTCTCTTACCCAGGTCCCTCTCTCCTCAGGACCCAGTTTCCTGGCCGGGAACAGCAAGTGCGGCTCATCTACCAAGGGCAGCTGCTAGGAGACGACACCCAGACCCTGGGCAGCCTTCACCTCCCGCCCAACTGCGTTCTCCACTGTCACGTGTCCACGCGCGTCGGTCCCCCACACCCCCCTTGCCCACCGGGGTCAGAGCCAGGCCCCTCCGGGCTGGAAATAGGCAGCCTGCTGCTGCCCCTCCTGCTTCTGCTGCTGCTGCTGCTCTGGTACTGCCAGATCCAGTACCGGCCCTTCTTTCCCCTGACCGCCACTCTGGGTCTGGCGGGCTTCACCCTGCTCCTCAGTCTCCTGGCCTTTGCCATGTACCGCCCGTAGTGCCTCCACGGGCTTTCGGCAGCGTTGCTGGCCCCTCTGGACCTTGCTCCCCTCGACACGGTGGGCGTTGCTGTCTGCCCAGGCCCACCTCTCCGGCCTGCCTCTTCCCACTACCCTGGAGCCCAGCCCTGCGCAGCAGAGCGCTCCGGGAGTCCGCCGACGCCCCTCCCTGTGACCTCCATGGCTCTGGGCCACGTCCTGGGGCTGCTGGCTCTCGGCCCCCATTGACAGTCAGCTCCTCGGGGTCAGGCAGCTGCTGTCACTGCCTTGGCCCCGGGCAGAGCCGGGCTACACCCCTGGGCCCTTCTTAGTGTCCTGCCCGAGGACCCAGCCACCTCTAGTCCCTGATAGCTCCTTGGGCTGGTTGGAGGACCCAAGGACTGCGGGGCGCGGGGGAAGGGAAGCTGGGAGGGGCAGAGGGGTTCTGTGGAACACGTGCAGATTAAATAACTGTGAAGTTTTCACTCCTGCTGTGTGTCTGGGTGTGTGGGCCTCTGGGGGTGCTGGGCGGGGAGCCCTCGCCCTCTGGGAGGACCGGCGCGCTGGGCGGGGACTGAGCCCTCCCGGCTGCACAGCCTTACAACGGCGAGCCGCCGACTTCCGCTCGCTCTTCGCACTAGCCTCGGCGCCCGGCCCCTTGGCTCCGCCCCCCGCCCGCGGTACCGCCCCGGCTCGGCGCGCGCAGCTTCCGGACGCGGGGGGCGGGGCGCGCGGCGCCCGGCGCCCGGACGCGCGGGGCCTGCCGGGAGCCACGTCTGTGCTGGTCGGGGGCTGAGCCGCGATTGGCGTCCGGGACGCGGTCCGGGGGCTGCTGGGAAGATGGCGGACTCGGTGGCCTGCCGATGAGGAGGCCGCGGGGGGAGCCCGGCTCCCGGGCCCCGAGACCGACTGAGGGAGCGACCTGCGCGGGGCCTGGGGAGCCATGTAGGGGTGGCGCCTGCGGGGCGGGCTGCGGGAGGGCGGCGGGAGTTGGTGTTGGCGACCGTGAGCACGGTCTCCGGGCGTCGCCGGGCCCGGGTGGGTGTGGGGGCCCCTGACACCGCCGACTCCGCGCCATTGCAAAGCCGCGCGCTCGGGCTCCACGGGCCCCTGCGAGCTGGGCGCTGCGTTCTCGTTTCGCGGGCGAGGAGGCTTGGGCAGAGAGACGAAGCCACTTGTCCAAGGTCATGCAGCTGGTAAGTGGGAGCGCCCAGCATGGAACCCAGGACCGCCCCGCTGCCGAGCCCGCGTTCCACCCTCCTTGCCGCTGCCGCCTCCTGCGGGAGGGGGAGGTGGTCGAGAGGGCGTGTCGACAGGGCAAGCTGGGCTCCAGGCTGGGCACGACCACTAACCCGACTCGTGACCTCGGGCTTACCCCCCCTTTCCTCTCTGGGCCTTGGTTTCTCCACCTGTGAAATGGAGGTAGTGCCAGCCCTGCCTACCTCAGAGGCGCGTGCGGAGCATCAGAGATCCGTAGTGCATGTGGAATTGCTCTGTAAATATCACTGTGCGGAGGACATGGAAGGTGCTGCTTCAGAGGATGGAAGGAGGCAGAGAGGGGCGGGGTGGGAAAGACTAGAGCAATCACAGGGGAAGGGCGAACATGAGTGGGTGTTCTGACCCCAGGGCCCTCTGAATGGGGAGTGAGGTCAGGGGTTGATGGCTGGTTTCTGGTTTCTCTCCCCTTTGGAGAAAACCTCACCCCCTTTTCTGGGCTGCCCCTCAGGGTCTCCATCACCCAACTCCATGCTTCGACTCCTGCTCTCTGCCCAGGCCTCCGCTGCTCGGCTGTCTGGCCTGCTGCTGCTCCCACCAGTACAGCCCTGCTGTCTGGGGCCCAGCAACTGGGGGGACCAGCCTCCTGGAGGAGGCCTCCATGCAGGCCCCGTGCAGGGGCTACAGCGGCTTCTGGAACAGGCGAGGAGCCCTGGGGAGCTGCTGCGTTGGCTGGGCCAGAACCCCACCAAGGTGCGCGCCCATCACTACCCTGTGGCACTTCGTCGTCTGGGTCAGCTCTTGGGGTCTCAGCCACGGCCCCCTCCCGTGGAGCAGGCCACACTACAGGACTTGAGTCAGCTCATCATCCGAAACTGCCCCTCCTTTGACATTCACACCATCCACGTGTGTCTGCATCTTGCAGTCTTACTTGGTGAGGAGGGTGTCTGGGGGGTGGGTGTTCACGGAAGAATAGAGAAAGAGCGTAGAAGACCCAAGATCACTGACAGAATTCATCTCTTGGGCTTTGGCAGGAGTGGCGCATACCTTGGCACACTTGCTGCCGCTCCCCTTGTATCCACAGCTGACACCAGGAGTCGAGCAGCATTCCCTGCAGCTTAGCTAGGGGTGCCAAGCCCGGATTCCTTCCTACACAGTGCTCTAGAAAGCCACTACAGTTTGTCACCATTGGCGTGAGATGAGAGCTCATTTGCCATCTTTATTTGAGTTCTTGCCCGCAGACTGTCCTGATAACCTCACAGTCACATGGTATTTCACACTTCTCCAGTGCTTCCACTTACACTATAGCAGCCCATCCAGTCCAGAACACAGAGACGTGAAAGGTTGGGAATTCATCAGCTGAACCCCATGACTGGAACAGAGCAGCTCCCCGTTACCAGGCCTGCCTCCTCTGACCCTCTCCCTCTCAGGCTTCCCGTCAGATGGGCCCCTGATGTGTGCCCTGGAGCAGGAGAGAAGGTTCCGCCTCCCTCCGAAGCCACCTCCCACCCTGCAACCTGTCCTGCACGGTGGGCAAAGATTGGAAGCTGCTCTGAGCTGCCCTCATTTCCTGAGGCGTCCGCGGCAGCACCTCATCCGCAGCCTGGCAGGTGCTGGAGGGGAATGAAGGCAGGTGGCGGGGAGGGGCTGAAGAGGAGGCCGGTGGTGGTGTCTGGACTGAGGGTCCAGCATAATAGGCTGTTCTTCACAGAGGCCAGGCCAGAGGAACTGACTCCTCACGTCATGGTGCTCCTGGCCCAGCACCTGGCCCGGCACCGGTTGCGGGAGCCCCAGCTTCTGGAAGCCATTGCCCATTTCCTGGTGGTCCAGGAAGCCCAGCTCAGCAGCAAGGTGGGATTACCTCCCACCCTGCCATGCTTGTCTCCTAGCCCTCCACGGTGTCAAGCCTAGCTCCCTGTCAGCTTGATTGGCTGCCTCCTGCAGCAAGCAGCCAGGCCCTCTGCTCTGTCCCCCTGGGGTTTTATCTTTGCTCACCCCCTCCTGGCTCATCCACCTACCCAGTGTGTATGCCTGGCTTTCTGCAGTTCTACTCACTTAGCACTGTCTTAGCTTCATTAAGCCCACTCCTCTTAAGTCTTCAGGGCCAGACCCCACAGCGATGTCTCCTCCATTGGTTTGACTAATCACATGGGGCTCAAGACACGGGTTGTGCTGTCAAACTTCTGGTGTGTACGTCGGGGGAGAGGGATCGCTCTGCCTTTACAGAGACATTACAAGCCTGCAGGCCAAACCTCCCTGAGGTTCAGCTTGTGAAGGGTATCAGAACTGTTTCGTGCCTGGTGAAGGGCTGCTCTTCCTCCACAGGTGGTACAGAAATTGGTCCTGCCCTTTGGGCGGCTGAACTACTTGCCTCTGGAACAGCAGTTTATGCCCTGTCTTGAGAGGATCCTGGCTCGGGAAGCAGGGGTGGCCCCCCTGGCCACTGTCAACATCTTGATGTCGCTGTGCCAGCTGCGGTGCCTACCCTTCCGAGCTCTGCACTTTGTCTTTTCCCCAGGCTTCATCAACCACATCAGTGGTGCGCGCACAGGAGAGCCAGCGGGGATCCCCAAGGGCCACTGGGCAGGGGTTGGCAGGGGCGGGAGTCTGTAGCCCCTCGAGCCTCAGTCCCGCTTTCCCGCAGGCACCCCTCATGCCTTCATTGTGCGGCGCTACCTCTCCCTGCTAGACACGGCTGTGGAGCTGGAGCTTCCAGGATACCGGGGTCCCCGTCTTCCCCGAAGGCAGCAAGTGCCCATCTTCCCCCAGCCACTCATCACTGACCGTGCCCGCTGCAAGTACAGGTGGATGGGGAGGCTGGGAGGAGGGGAGGGGACCCTGAACTGTCCATGCAGAGGCATTCTTATCAGTCCTAGAGGGAAAAATGGGCCTTGGGAGGCCTTTGCCCAGGGTCCAGGCGCGACAGGGAACAGAATTAAGATGAGCCTCCTGAGCCTTTCCTTGTCGGTCTTCCTACCCCATCCCAGTCACAAGGATATAGTAGCGGAGGGGCTGCGCCAGCTGCTGGGGGAAGAAAAGTACCGGCAGGACCTGACGGTGCCTCCGGGCTACTGCACAGGTGAACCCCAGTGGCGGGCGGGCGGCTGGCAGGGTACAGAGCCTGGGCTGGAAGCCAGCCGCCCTCTCTCTTCCCCCTCCAGACTTCCTGCTCTGCGTCAGCAGCTCTGGTGCTGTGCTTCCTGTGAGGACCCAGGACCCCTTCCTACCGTACCCTCCCCGGTCCTGTCCCCAGGGCCAGGCTGCCTCTCAGTCCACTACCCATGACCCCGCCCAAAGGTAAGGGAAGAAGGTGGGAGAGCCTCCCATCTCTGTGGACAGCACCCTGAGCTGCAGTCTGCTCCCCACAGGGTAGTGCTGATGCTGCGAGAACGCTGGCATTTCTGCCGGGATGGCCAAGTGCTGCTGGGCTCCCGGGCCCTCCGGGAGCGGCACCTGGGCCTGATGGGCTACCAGCTCCTGCCGGTGAGAGCACCCACCCTGCATGTCCTCCTGGCTCCCCTGTGCCAGCCCAGGACCCTGAGGGTGACACGCCGTTCCCTCCCTCGCAGCTACCCTTCGAGGAACTGGAGTCACAGAGAGGCCTGCCACAGCTCAAGAGCTACCTGAGGCAGAAGCTCCAGGCCTTGGGCCTCCGCTGGGGGCCTGAAGGGGGGTGAGGGGATGCACATGGGGCTCAGGGTGACCCCCGAAGGGGGTGGACAATTTGCACTTTGGCTCTCTATATTTTGATTTCTCATTAAAGTCCCTTTCTTTCCCCATTGTGCATCTCGTTTCTGGGACAGGGAGCGGGTTGCCGCCCCCCCCACCCGCCCACCTGCCAATCCATGCTCCCTCCCCATACATACACAGAAGACCAGGATAGGTGGGGGCCGAAGCACTTTACTGTGGGGGGTGGGGATGGTAAGGAGACTTTAAATTATTCACTTAAATAAAAATGAGGGAGGGGAGGGGGAGAACACCCCAGCCCCTGATCCCTCTATCCATCCGTCCCTTGGCTGTGGGTCCAGGCAGCAACTACACAGGCATGGGCATCTCATTGTACTCGTCCACACCCTCCCGCTCATCGAACACTGGCTCCGCCTCATTAGCATCCAGCTGTGGGGGTGGAGGGAGTTAGTTGATCCTGACCTCAACCTGGGTGGGGACCCCAGGGTGGGGGTGGGGTGAGGGTGAGGGGAGGGGTGGGGGGTGGGCAGCAGGGCTGGGGGGAAAGGGGCAGGAGGC